ACTCAGGGAGAGGTAATTCAGCAGTCTAGCAAAACTAAGAAAACCATGGGCAGTAGCCCTGTCAGATGGGGAGAAAGAGTAAGGAAGCCACACAACCCCCAACCTCCATGCATTGGTAGAGGCCCTACCAGCTGTGGAGAAGCAGCAAGGAAGCTGTGCAGTGAACTCTCTGTCCTTTGTGTTAGCAGAGGATCTGCTGGCTGTGAAGAACCAGCAAGGAAGATGTGCATCATCCTTGTGTGCCAGCAGAGGCCCTGTTGGCTGGGAAGAAGCAGCAAGGAGTGCAGCCTCCCTGTGTGCTGACAGAGGCCTATTAGCTGTGGAGAAGCAGCAAGGAAGCTGTCCAGCCCTCTATGTGCCAGGAGTGGTCCTGTAGGCCAGGGAGAACTAGCAAGAGAGCCACCTATTCCTCTGGGCTCCTCCAACCCATAAGCAACTAGACATGACACAGACTGAGGTGATAATAACTGAAGTAAGGGAGCAACCTGAATTTATATTGCTTGATTGACTTTACAAGCCTGGGGCCACTAGTCTGAGCAAGTTTTAAAGAATAACAATATGCAACAATAGTAGTGATTATGTATTTCCTACTGTCCTATCACTGTTTTGTTTGTTTGCTTGTTTGATTTTACTTGTTTTACTCCTTTTAAAATGACAATTAAAAACAAAAACACCAAAATCCTGTAGTTTTAGTAACACATTCTACCAAACTATTGAGGAATGGATGTTTCTCATGTGCTAGAAAATGTATTGAAAATATAGAAAATTTTAGAGGTTAAGAGTGTAGCTCATCAGTAAAATATGTACTTTGAATGCACAAAGCAATAGGTTTGATCCCCAGTGCCACAATATTTATGACATATCAGCATATTATTGAAGAGTAATAATATTCCAATTCCCAAAATGTATATGAATAACTCCAAATAAGGAAACTATAGGCCATTCTTCCCCTTAAATATAGAAGCTGAAGTCCTATTATAATATACAGCTAACAAAATTCATAGGGTTGTAAAAGAGTAATTCATCAAAAATGAATGTATTTTACTAGGGAATAAAAAATTAGCTATATAGTAGAGTATTGGTAATATAATTCATTTCATTATCCACATAAAGAGGAAATGCAATTTGATCACCTGTACAAATATTTAAATGTAATTTACCAAAATTCAATGGTGATTCTTGATGAAACTAAGAAGAAACTTCCTTTACTTGGTTAAAAATATTATTATGGTCAGAAATACTACATATATATATATATATATATATATATATATATAAATAGGTACATAGAATAGCTTATTTATAAAATACTAACTGTAAACTCTTAGAACTAGTAATAGTCCAATAAGCTATATGGGATAAAATCAATGTACAAAACTTAAATAGCTTTCTTGTGTACAACCATAATATTTTTGAAGTGTATCTGGAAATTATTTGACATTCTTTCCATCTAGTGATAGAATCTGTACCTACTTTCCTTGAACATGGGCCAAATTGTAATGATGCCTTTTGATTTCTACAACTAGGCAAAAAAATAAACAAATGCAGCATCCTTATTGGCTTGCCAAAATACTGATGCTGGCACCTTGAGTTCCTAAGTAATAAATCCAATTCCCATGAGATTATTATAGTATGAGGAAGTGCAAAGTAGTGCATATAGATAACTACATATGATTCTCTGTGATTACATGAAGAGAGAGATTCTCCTCCACTTTTTAACTACCAATTCTCACTGTTCACACCTCATAGTATTTGACTGGAACTGTGAAAGAAACCCCAAGACAGAATATCCCAGTTGAGGTATTCTTAGAATTTCTAACTAAAAGTACCCATAAAATTAATATTATTGTTTCAGTAACTAAGTGATGAAGTGGTCCATTTATCAGTCACAGAATATCAGAATAGCCCACAATTGCAGTTAGTGTCACACGTAAAGATATATAATTCAAAACAGTAGTTACAAAAATTAGGCATGTTAATATTCTGTGAGAATATAAAATATTATGGAAATGTCCAATTAATATACACATTCAACATAGTTCCAAATCAAGCAACAACAATATATTTGTAAAAAAATACTTGACAGATTAATTTTAATTGTCATTAGAATAGAAAATACATATAACTATTTTCAAAAAATTAAAAAGATGAACAATGAGGCAAAACATGTCCTACAACATATTAAAACATACTAAGAAGCTACATTAATGTTTGGCAAGGATATTTAAAATTGATTACTAAGTTTTAGGTAGACAACATATTATGAACTATAGACATCACTTAGTAACATGGCTCTCTCAAAGTTATTCCTTCTAAATGAAATTTTGTATCCTTTGACTAATGTTGCCTCAATCCTCACATACTCTCAACTTCCAGGAACTACACTTGCAGTCTATTTTTATGAGTTTGACTTTTGTAGATTGTGCACACAGATGAAATTGTGTGTACTTATTTTGGGAATTTATATTTAAAATAGTACAAAATGCATAATAAAAAAATTCACTACAATTTACATTCCATGTTGTCAGTTTTCTCTGTTTTACTGATGAATTTCTAACCCCTGAAATAGTGAATGACACACGATAAGTAATAAATATTTTAAAATATTATTCAATTAGTAAATAAGCATATCAATGAATCAAATATATAAATAATGGAGAATTTACTATATAATAAAAATGATATTTCTAAATGTTAACAAAAGGAAGTTAGATTATTCAAAAATGGTATTGAGAAAATGAGGTACAGTAAATTAAAGATGTCAGATATCACTTAGCATTACATATAATTGAATTTTCCAATTTTAAAGACCTAAACATAAAAATAAAGCTATAAAAGAAAAAATAAAAAATACCTTGCAATAACCTAGTAAGTCCTGGAATAGGGACAGCCTTCTTAAAAAATGTAAATTGTAGAAAGTGTAAATGAAAACTGATATATATATATATATATATATATATATATATATATATATTTGACTGTTAAAAATTAGCAACTTGTGGACACTATCATCATATACAATTAAAACATATCCTACAGACTCAAAAAATATATATGTATGCACGCATATATTTTTTGAAGTGGGTACCTGGAATTGAATTCACGATCTCCTCCTTGTCAGTCAGGTGCTGTGCTGCTGAGCTATATTCATGGCCCCTGACACATTTTTGACACACACAATAGTAAAAGTCTTAACATTCAAAACATAAAGACCAAACTGAATAAGAAAAAGAAAGTGCCACAGAAAGAGGTATAGTATATGAAGAGAAAATTGCATTACTGGAAAAGTAAAGATGGTCAATAAACAATAAAAAGCTGCTCCACTTGAGGATTGATCAGAGGAAAGTAAATGAAAGTATAATAAGACTATAGCTTTTCATCATAAAATTGATAAAAATTAAATAATTAGTAGAATATAATATTTGTAGAAGTACTGTCATAAGTCACTGGTGCAGATATAATTTGATAAAACAATTTTGGAAATTAATTTTATACAACTGAATTAAATGATATTGCATACATTATTTGATATAACAATTCCATCTTTCTATCTATAAATATATACATGTATGTATATGTACAGAAATATATACATTAGAAAAACACAACATAAAACAAAAGCAAATTAAACAGCATGACCAAAAGTCCATATTGAATAACAGAAAGTTACAATTTGTCTGTGACACAGACAGGAAAATTCAAGGCAAGAATATTTCACAAGAGGGGCTGGTACGAGCCAAAAACCATATGTGATGTCTTTGTATGCTATACAAAGTTACTATAGGAAATAAGGCATGTATAGTTATGAAACTGTAGGGTCTTTCACACAGGAAATATAGATGGCACCACTGATTACCATAGAGACTCCACCAAACTGAGTGGGAAAAGAACCAAATGTTAAGCATTAATTTAGGGGGCCCTGATTATATTTTCTATTGTAATGATTACACATTCATGTATTCCTTTCAACACTATAGTAGCTAATTCAAATTACTGATATGTTGGAAAGACACAGAAGAGCAGAGTATATACTTAGAGAAACAAATGAGACAAAGGAGAAATTCACAGATACAACAAGGAAGTTCATTTTTCATGAAGTCTAGTCATCTGGTGAGCAGATATTAGTCTTTAAGTATCAAAGCTTCTTCAGTCTACAGGGGGGATTCTTTTAAAAAATAATAGTTTTTGTAGAGACGGTAGTATTTTCTATGGTCCTAAATCTCTTGCTAGACATTTCTCTATTATCCTCAAGTTCAAGATCTCATCCTAGTAAAATAGGCCAACATTTTCTAGCAGAGATGAAAAAAACACAAGAATGACACACTTTCATTATATGTCTACTTGGGGAAGTTACATGAAGTCATATGTTGAAGGGATCAGAGTAAGAGTATCTCAAAGGAAGAAAGCATATATTGAGAGTCCCTATAAGGTGTCATTTGAAGAGTATGTTCTTCTAAAAAGTCAATTACATAAATTATCACCCTATAGCATTCTGATAGTTCAATTGTCAGTTTCTCTGAGATTTTTAAATGGTTTATGAGCTAACCAGAAAAGGTAGCAAAGATGTGGGTAAATTCATACCTTTGAGCCAAACAGATCTGATTGTAATTTGAAGTTAAGGTAACTACATGATCTTGGCAGGCTACCATAAACCTCTAGTTTATCATCCATATAATGTAGGAGGCAGAAGGGACAGATCATATCTACTTAAAAGCATGCTTCTGAAGATTGAAGTATATATGCCATACCCATAAAGTACATGCCCATAAATGACAACTAAATGATTATAATACAATGCAAATTATTTTAAAATAATTAGGAAACAAATACTTATAAATATTAAGGGAGACAACAATACCTTTAAATATTTGTTTTGTATCCATTAAAACCACTTTTCTTATTTTATTTAAATATATATATATATTTAAATAAAATAAGAAAAGTAGTTTTATATATATATATGGGAGTATATATATATATATATATATATATATGGGAGATTAAAACGAAAGAGGACACAACAACACATGTCAGAACAAAACAATTTAAGCAACATAGGGCTTCATCACAAGATAACCTGACATAACATTAGATACCATAGTGTCTCTTTTCTTGAAATATTTGAGTATGCATGCCTTCGTGTACTATCAAACATAACAATACAGTGTAAAGCCATTCAAGAGGGTAAAAGTGTTACAGGGTATTTAGAAACAACTAAAACAAAACAAACAAATGGTTTCTATATTATCTCCTTGATTATAAAAAAATTTGTTTATACTATCACATATAATAAAATTGAATAAGATGCAACATGATAAAACAGATGGAGACAGAAGAACAAAAGCTTAGTGAGACTTTAAAACAAGATATTAAATCAGCACTAGCTATTATAATGTCTTGTTTTCTTCAAAATAACTGTTCAACCCATCACAGACAATAAACTCAAACATTCCAGAATAAAACTATTCCAATTAATGAATGGAAACATTATAAGGCTTCAGAACAATAAATGGGGAATCATGATTACCACATACATTTATGTATTCTTACCATTTCTTACACTAGGGAAACTGTTTGGTATTTATACATGTGAGTTTCATTTATTTCGTTTATGAGTATGGTTTCAAGCTGTGCATAATTATTTATAATTATCTCAATGTGATAATTCTTTAGAGCTGAGTAGTACTCCATTGTATAAAAATATCACAACTTTTTAATCCATTCCTCAGTTGATGGACACTTAGGTTGTTTCCAAGATCTGGTTATTACAACTTGTGTTGCTATAAACATGGGTGCACATATATCACTGTGGTATGATGTTTTCAGTTTTTCTGGGAATATGCCTAGAAGAGGAATAACTGTAAAAATTTGGGACTTCCAATCCCAGCTTTTTGAGAAATCTCCAGCTTGACCTCTAAAATGGCTACACCAGTCTACAGTCCCACCAAGAGTGCAGGCTAGTTCCATTTCCCCACAGCCTCTCCAGCATTTGTTGTTGGTGGTTTTCTAGATCCCAGCCATTCTTTCGAGAGTGAGATGTAATCTCAGTGTGGTTTTAATTTGCATTTCTCTAAAGAGTAATGATGATGAATTTTTTTTCATGTATTTATTTGCCATTTGTATTTCTTCATCTGAGAAGTGTGTATTCATCAGAGATGCCCATTTTTGGACTGGATTTTTGAATTTTGGGAGTCTGATTTTTTAAAATTCTTTATATGTTTTAGACAGAAGTCCTTTGTCTGAGGGAGAGTTCACTAAGATTTTTTCCCAGTTTGTGGGTTTTTCTTTCACTATGCTGGAGATTTCTTTTGACCTGCAGAAACTTTTTAATAAGAAGTGATCCCAGTTATTCATTCTGGGAAGTATTTCCCATGTGGTTTGATTCCTGTTCATTAATTCTCTACCTACCCCTATGTCTTCAAGATTTTTACCCAATTTGTCTTCCAATAAATTTAGTTTTTCTGCTTTAATATGCAGATCTTTCATTCATTTAGATTTTAATTTAGTACATGGTGATAGGCATGGGCCTAGTTTTAGTTTTTGGCATATGGAAAGCCAGTTTTCCCAACACCATTTATTAAAGAGACTGTTGTTCTTCCAGTGAGCATGTTTGACACCTTTATCAAAGATAAGGTGGTTGAGTGTGTTTGTAGTTGTGGTTGTATCTTCTAATCTATTCCACTGATCTTCAGCTCTGCTTTGATTCCTGTACCATGTTGATCTTACTACAGTTGCTTTGTAATATAACTTCAAGTCAGGGATTGTGATGCCTCCTGCCTTGCCCTTGCTGCTTAGAACTGTTTTTGCTATTCTAGGTCTCTTCTGATTTCAGATGAATTTTAGGAGCAATTTCTCGAGATCTATGAGGTATGTTTATGGTATTTTTAATTGGGATTGCACAGAATCTGTATAACAGTTTTGGGGCAATGGCCATTTTCACAATATTTATTCTTTGTATCCATGAGCAAGGGATGTCTTTCCATTTTCTAAGATCCTATTCAATTTTTTGTCATTGCATTATAATTTTCACTATGTAGAACTTTCATTACTTTCATGAAAATAACTCCTAAATATTTCATTTTTTTTCCCGTTGGTAGTGTGAAGGGTATGGCTTCACTTATTTCTCTCTCTGTGCTTTTGTTGTTAGTGTATAGAAATGCAATTGATTTTTGTGTATTGACTTTGTATCCAGCTATATTGCTGAATTTGTTTATTATATCTAGGAGACTGTCAATGGAGTTTAGGGGTCTTCTATGCAGAGTATCATGTCATTTGTAAATAATGAAAGTTTAACTTCTTCTTTTCCTATCTTTACGCCTTTTATTTCTCTCTCTTGTCTAATTGCTCCGGCTAGTATTTCCAATAGTATATTAAATAGGAGTGGTGATAAGGGACATCCTTGTCTTGAGCCTGATTTTAAGATAAAGGCCTTCAGTTTTGGGCCATTTAGTATGATACTGGCTTTTGGTTTGTCATAGATGGCCTTTATTATATTGAGGTAAAGACCACCTATTCAAATTTTCTGTAAGTTTCTTATCATAAATGAATGTTGGACCTTATCAAAAACTTTTTCTTCATCTATAGAGATGATCACATGGTTCGTACTTTTGGCTTTATTGATATGGTGGGTTACATTTATTGGTTTACGTATGTGGAACCATTCCCGCATAGCTGGAATGAATCCCATTAGGTTGTGGTGTATAATCTTCTTGATGATTTGCTGTATTCTATTTGCCAATATTTTATTGAGGATTTTTCCATCTGTGTTCATTAGAGAGATTGGTCTGTAGTTGTCTTTAGATTGGTTTTTCTCAGGTTTTGATACTAGAGTAATATTTGTTTCCAGGAATGATTTAGGAAGGATTGCTTCCTTTTCAATTTCATTGAAGAATTCGAGGAATATTGGCATTAAATCTTCTTTGTACTTCTTGTAGAGTTCTCAAATGAATCCATCTGGCCCTGGGCTCTTTTTGTAGGTAAGGATTTAATTACATTTTTAATTTCATTAATAGAAATTGTGTTATTCAGCAGTTTTACATCTTCTTAACCTAGCTTTGGTACTTCATATGTTTCTAGGAATCTGTCTATTTATTCTGTGTCATCCAATTTATGAGAGTAGAGGTTTTCAAAATAGATGTTGATGATCTTTTGTATTTCTACAGAATCTGTAGTGATTTCGCCTTTTTCATTCCTTATTGCATGAATTTGAGCTTTTTCTTCCCTTTTTAAAATAAGGTTGGTTAGGGGCTTATCAATTTTATTTATTTGTTCTAAGAACCAACTCTTTAATTCATACATTCTTTGGATTGTTTTCTTTATTTCTGTTGCATTAATTTCTGCTCTGATTTTTATAATTTCCTCCCTGCTTTTGGCTTTGGGCTTAATTTGCTCTTCTTTTTCTGGATGTTTGAGGTGTTGCATCAGGTTATTTGTTTGTATTTGTACAGTTTTCCTGATGTGGAAGCTCAGTGAAATAAATTTTCCTCTGAGGACAGCTTTTACTGCATCCCACAGGTTCCAGTAAGTTGTATTTGTGCTTTTGTTTGCTTGTAGGTATTGTTTAATGTCTTCCTTAATTTCCCCTGTGACCCACTGATTACTTGAGTGTTTTATTCAGTTTCCATATGTTTGTGGGATTTTTGCAGTATCTTTAATCACTAATTTCTAATTTCATGGCACTATGATCTGATCACATGCATGGGATAATTTCAACTCCTTTGCATTTATTTAAGTATGTTCTGAGGGCTAATAAGTGGTCTATTTTAGAGAATGTCCCATGTACTGCTGAGAAGAATGTGTTATCTGATGTTGTTGGATTGAACACTCTGTATATGTCTATCAAGTCCATTTGTTCACATGTGTGATCCAGTTCTGTTATTTCTTTCCTGAGTTTCTGTCTGCTAATCTGTCCCTTAGTGTCAATGGTGTGTTAAGGTCTCTGTTATAATTGGGTTGTTGCTAATTTGGTTTTTCATTTCCGTTAATACTTGCTTTATATAGCTGGGTGCTCTGGAATTTGGTGCATATATATTTAAGATTGTTATCTCTTCCTTTTGAAGTTTTCCCCTAACCAGTATGTAGTGACCTTCTTTATCTCTTTGATCATTATTGCTTTAAAGTTCACATTGTCTGCAAATAGAATAGTTATGCCCACTTTATTTTGGGTTCCTGTTGCATGTAGTACTGTTTTCCATACTTTGACTTTCAGTCTGTGAGTATATGTTTGGGTTAGATGAGTTTCTTGTAGACAGCATATGGTTGGATGCTATTTCTTGATCCATTCTGCCAGTCTCTTTCTTTAAATTGGTTCATTTAGACCATTTTACAGTAATGGTTGTAACTGTTATATATTGGTTTATTGTTGACATGTTATCTTTTTGCTGTTGCATCTTTATCTTTCCATACTGTTTGGTTTTCTGTTTTGTTTATTGGTTTTTTCCTATGTACATCTAAAGTGTCTTTCAGTATTCTTTGCAGGTTTGGCTTGGTGATCATGAAATTCTTCAGCTGTTCTTTGTCATGGAAGTATCTTATTTCTACGTCAATTTTGAAGGACAGTTTTTCAGGGCACATCAGTCTATTTTGTAAATCATTTTCCTTTAAGATCTGAAACAATTCACTCTGTGCTCTTCTTGACTTTATTTTTTGTGCTCAGAAGTCTGCTGTGATTCTGACAGGTTCTCCTTTATAGGTGATCTGTCCTTTCTCTCCGACACTTTTATTATTTTATTCTTATATTGGATTTCTGGGATGGTGATTATTATATGTCTGGATGTAGTTTTATTTTGGTTACAGGTATTTGGAGTTCTATATGCTTCACTGATCCTGATGTCAGTTTCAATTCTCACGTTTGGAAAATTTTCAGCTATTACTTCTCTAAATATCCTCTTGACATCCTTTATGTTGTTCCCTTCTTTTTCATTTACCCCTATCAATTGTTTTTTCTTTGTATCATCTTGCAGCTTGTGAATTGTTATTTCCTCACTCCTTGTTATTTTTAAAAGATCTTTCCTTTCCTTTTCACTAGCTGCAATCTTGTCTTTGAGGTCTGAAATTCTATTTTCACTTTCATTGAAGCAGTTTTCACAACTTTCAATGGAAATTTTGTTTTCCTGTATAACTTTTTGCATCTGCTTTATGTATTCTACTTTTTTATATTGTTCATCCAGGGATTGTACCTTTTTGTTTAGTTCCTTGATTTTTTCAACTGTCTTCTTTAGATATGTTCAGCACTTCTTTTATCATTTCTTCTTTTACTTGGGAAATTATTTCTAGTTTGAATTCCTTTAAAGCTTACCCAAGTTGCTTCTTTATTTCAGTTGCTATTATGTCAGGTATTTCAGGTGTATGGCATATATTTTCTTCTGTGTACTTAGCTCCTAGGATTTCTTGGGATGGGCTGAAGGTTTGAGATTTCATTTTGATCTTTCATTTTGTCATTTTCCTATATTTCTGTGTTTCAAGTGTTATTCCAAGTCTTCCCCAGGGCCTGTTGGAAATCCTTTTCTATGCGCTCAGCTCCTGGGACTCTGGCCACCTAGTTCTCTGGATTGAAAAAGGATCACTGGGCGAGGAGCAGGGAGGCTCAAGCTCTATGGTGCAGGTTTAATATGGTAGGAAGCTGTGAAGTTCCTTAGCTGGCGGGAACAATGATCCCAAACTCCTTGGTTTGGGGGTTGGTGCAGAGACACTTTCTCCACGCCACTCTGCCTCTGGAACTGAGTGTGCCAGCAAGCCAGGGACTCCAGAGTCCACCAAGCATGGCAGCGAGTGGGGCATTTGTTGCAGGCAGGCTCAAGACCACTTGAGCTGGTCCAGTGCAGCAGAAAGACATAAAGTTCCTTGGTTGGGCCCCAGTGAGGATCCCAAACTCCCTGGGTTTGGAGAATGGTGTGGGTTAAAACTACTTTTCTATATAAATACAATTATTCCTTGGTATTCACAAAAGATTTGTTCCAGGACTCCCTGTAGGTACCAAACTCTGCAGATGCTTAAATATCTTATATAAAATAAATATTATTTGCATAAAAACCTATGCACACTGCCCACTACTTTAATTTTTTATAATACTTAGTATAACATAAATACTATGAAATCGTTATAATACTGCACTCGTAAAGAACTATTGCCAAAAATGTCTATATATATTCAATGTAGATGCAATTTTAAAGATATTTTCTAACCATAGTTAGTTTAATATACAAATATGGAACCTACAAACATGGGAGTACTGATATTGCATAAGTTTACAAATAGGCATGAGTCCGTTTATACCCCTAGATAACTGACATTTTAATAACTTTCATATTAAACAACATTTCAAAACAAGAAATGTGGGACTGGGGATTTAGCTCAGTGGCTCAAGTGCTTCTTGGTAAGCACAAGGTTGTGAGTTCAATCCCTTGGTACCAAAAATAAATAAATAAATAAATAAATAAAGACTCAATATAAGAAATTTATGCACATTTTTAGTGATGTGCAATAAAATTTCAAAAATTCCTATAGTGAACTTCTAGATTGTTTGTAACACTTTATGAGTATGAACACCAATACAGTAAACATATATACTATCATTAATACATTGCTGTTAATAAGAAATCTAATTTATAACCCAAAATATTAGGTAATATATTAACTGGTTCTTTTATCTTTTCTATGTAAAATTTCCAGACTTTCAATTCAAAGCTATTTTAACATGGACATTAAAAATAGCAGTTCTTTCACTGTCTCATTCTCAAACTACATGGCGTCCTAGCAGGTTCCCAAAACCTACACAGGTTTTTCCTCTGCTATTCTCAATTTGTCAGTCTGCTTTCTATTTCTTACTCTTTATTATTCTCCTAGGCCAGTTTCTGGTTATTGCGTCCATCAGAGCCCCCTCAACAAAGTGAAAAGGAAAATCTGACTGGGGCTCAATGACAAATTGTTCTCGAGTGTTGTCCTATGAATAACAGTTCAAGATTCAACTTAATAAATATTTCTCTATGCCATAGGTAATGAGCAAAAAGAATCAAGCACCTATGGCTTTTTGTTATGTGGTAAATGCTTCTGTGAAACACTTTCATATGATTCTTCTCATTTAATTTTTATACTGAGTCTATGATGTAGTTCTTATTAGTAGCTCCCAATTCTGCTGACCAGGAAACTGAGGCATCTGGAGTGTAAATATGGCAGAGCCAGAATACAAAAAAAATCTACTTGATGCAAAGCATATGATATTACCCATTACTTCACAAAGTCTTCCTGGACAATTCACAAATGTTAATGAAAAGTTTTTCAGGTAATGCCTTTAGAGAGGAAGCTGACTCTGTTACAGTATTTTTGTCACTATCTTTCCCTTTAAATATCACAAAACTTTTTATTTAATAAAAATCTTACCTTTAACAGTAGGATCCATGACTATTATTCACTGTGTGTTCATTAGCTCAAATAGTATCATTTTGGCATTGAACACAGAAAAGGTAGTTATGAATCGCATAAATCCTTCTTCTATGGAGCTCCAGGGCAAAATACAGAACTGAAAAAGAAAATCATTATAACACTGTGATCTAGAGGTTATGATAAACATAAGTGTTGGATGCTAAAAGAACAAAGAAGCAAGCTTCACTGGTAGTGCCATCTAAACTGGGTTTTAGCAGCAGCAGTGAGTCAAGCAGAAAATGGGGCAGGAAAATCTTTTCACTTTCACATTGCTTTAGTCATGCTATTATTTCTTAGAGCATGGTGATGGCTTAGACCTTTAGGTCTCTTCTTAGTGATATGATGGTTTCTTTGCTGGGAATGCCCTTATTTTCTCCTCAGGTGTCACTGATCTACTTTTCAATATGTAACTCAAATGTCCTTTCAGAGGCTTTTCCTGATTCCTTCAGGCTTCATTATGGGATCCTTCTATGAATCTGTGTTTACTTGTACCACAAGCATGCTCAATGTTCAATAAATGCTTGTGGGAACTGTCCACTCATTCAATGAGTATTTACAGAGTACTATTATCTAAGTTTTGCTCTAGGTTGTATGGATAGAAGAGTGAATAAGGTCTCTACCTTAATAAGAGCCTAAAGACTAACAAGAATCAACAGACAATTATCAAATAAAATAATCACTGCAAGTAATTACAGGTTTTACACAGATAATAAAACAGGACACTACAGAGACTGACTAGTTGTAAAATAGGAATAGTTATGATAAAATACTTATGGAGGAGATTTCTAAGGTGAAAACGTGAAAGTATTTGTATTAATAAATACATGCACACTGATTTGAGATTTGAATAAGAAGGGATAATGAGAAAGAAGGAGGCATATGAAGAACAGTGCAGTTAGAGGGAAACCTTGAACTAAGAATAATCTGTATATGCTCAAAAAATCCCAAAGCCATATATGGCAGGTGCAGCGTGAGTATGAGAAAAAGTAGTAAGAAATAATACTGAAGAACTAGACAGAGGCTGAAGTACATAGGATCTTACAGGCCATAGTAAGGGTGAATGGACGTTAAGTCTGGGGAAAATATTTGCGGGTGTGGAAGACAGTACCATGAAAGAGTTAAGTACATAGGCTCTAGTACAGATTATGTAGATTTGGTTTCTACATTTCCCATTTTGTTACATGTCAACTAGGATGTCTTAAACTCTTTACACCAGGTATGGAAATAGAGAGTAATAGCACTATCATCATAGATTTTCTTGAAAAGATTAAATGATATAGTTCATATAACATACTTAACCTAATGCTTAGTTCAGAATGAGTGTTCAAATAATGTTAACTTACTATTTTAAATGAACTGAATGCACTGTTCACCATTTTAAGACTTTGGATGCCTCTCTCACATTCTATTTTCTCCTGATGGAGAGAATGCACAATGTATATGGGTAGAGCCCACCAATACACAGAAGAAAGACTCAGAGTATGTGGTTACATACCTCTCAGAGAGCATAACTGGGACCTCAGCTGCTAAGAAGACTGCTCTTCCTCAGGAAGAACACTGATCTCTGTCACCTTAACAATAAGTTCTGCCTCCTGATCAGCAGTAAAGCTGAGTACTTAAAGCACAGTAATGTCCAAGCTTAGTGCAGCAGACATCTAGATGAAAATAGATGAAATAAAGAAGGGCTCTATGTTTCTTCCAAAATATTTTTCTTCTACATACTAGCCCTTGTGCTGGCAATTTGTTATGGTTCAGCATGGCAATGTACATGTACTAGTGCCTGGTAGGTCATACGTTTGAAATAAACATGTGCAGAATTAGTAACTCACATGTTTTTCATTCATATGTGGTAGAATGCTCACATGCTTTGTAGAAGAGCTTGATTGAAAGGGAGATCACTAGGGACAAATAACCGTTATAGTAATATTATTAATGGGTTTCTGAATATTATGTCCAATAAACCTCCTTCTTTTCCTTTAGATAGCTCTCTCTTACTTTCACTGATTAACCAGGCACAGAGAAGCACACCTATAATCTTAACAATTGAAGCAGGATGATCTCAAGTTTGAGTCCTACCTAAGTAACTTATCAAGACTTTCTCAAGGCAGTGGGCTAGGGACATAACTCAGTATGCAGGCCCTGGGTTCAATTTCCAATAATGGAGAAAAGGGGCCTCAATCTCACCTGTAGATGGAAACTTAATTCCTTGCCAGCAAAACACAAATCTTCATATTTATGTTCAGCCTAAGGATTCAAATTACAGAGTACAACATTTGTTTTGCTTTCTATTTTCTGTCTTCTTGCTTCTCATACCCTAGATCCACTACAATGCACAGAACTCAAGGAGATTTGATTAAGGTTTGAGTGTACTCAGATGATGTACATTCTAATCCTGGTTCTACTACTTATTTTTTGGCAAGTAAAGGCAACTTTCCTGTTTTCTGTCTCAATGTTCTTCTGTAAAATGAATATAATACAACTCACCTCACACAGCTACATAAGGAAAAAGTAAGATAATGCCATGCAAAGTGTTTAGCACAGAGCCTAGCAAGGAGAAATCATTAAATACACATATAGAAATAGACCAGCAATTAAGTTAGACACAAAAGACAGAGGAAAATGGCTTTAAAAAATCTCCTCCAGGATTCTTTCAAGTCTTTTTCCTTTGTCAGCTCATGGAGATGAATGAAGTATGGGGTCATATCTAACACAGTTCCCTAACCAGAGATATAATATAGAATGAACTCTTTTTATTGAGCTGACCGACCTTAGGCAGTGGACAGAGAAACTATCAAACTGGGCCATGAGGAAATGAAAATTGAAAGAGAACCAAACTAACATGCTCATATCTATGTCGGACCCAAGATGTCTTAGGTGCTGATGTGAAACTATGCACAAGATGTAGAGAAGTATATATGGTTTGATTCTATTTCTGCAAAAAAAAAGAGAGAAAGAAACAAAAGAAAAGAAGAAAGCTTATAAAAGGATATCTATGTCTAACTGAATATTAACACATGGAATGTTTTTGCAAGGGTTCGCAAGAAATTTTTCATAGGAATTGCCTCTGGGTAGAAAAAATGACTTTCTAGGAACAGACTTGAAGAACTATTTAGTTATGTTTTACTCTATTTTTTGCAAATAAACATTAAATTAAACTAAAAACAAATCAGAGCCAATTTCTTCTGGGAAGATCTAGGCAAACTTAAGATGTAGTCAATGCCATTACTGTTCAAAGCCCATGAATAGGGGTAAAAGCTAATGGATTATAAAAGTAACAGTTAAGCAAAAGACAGTCCCGTGTGTGAGGGAAGGACTCTGTGTTTAAGATATTGCAAAAGAAATAGTTTAGATAGTGACTTTTGATGCTTTTCTGTAGAACAAAAGGAAGCATTATGAGAAAACCGTAATCCAAGAGTTTAAGAATAATGTTTAGTAGAACTTGAAGCACCTGTAGGCAAACTGCATCAAAGGAATGAGATCAATGTTTTAACAATGAGTAACCAATAATTATCCCTTCATGGAAAAAGACCTGGATACGAAATGACAAAAGATATTTCCAATAAACATGATCTTCATACTTTTTTGCCTACAGACCTAGCATAAAGTCAGTTTTCAAGCTTGGATGGCAATGGAATTACCTGGTGAGCTTTAAAAACTATTCTTTTGTTGTGAAATATTGTTTTACCTTTTTCCTTAAGAAAAAAAAAAGCCCAATGCTCATGGAATATCCAAACCAATGTGGTCAGAAACTCTTGGAATGCACCAGTCATGAGTAAATTTTGAAGCTCCTTGTAACTCTAATGAGAATTCAAGGCTGAGAACCACTACAAAGAAAATTTGACAAGTTAGATGTCCACAAATATTTTTCAGTGAACATCTAAACTATTCAAGATAAATTTAAACATTTAAAAAGATATTATGTCATAAAATTTTAATTTTAAAAGAAAAATTTTAACTCAAAATTTGATAAATAGAATTCTATGACAAATGTCTTTTTTATGTCTGACCCCTTTGATTCAGTATGCTTTCAAGGTTTACTCACTTTGTAGCATGTATCAGTACTTAATTCTTTATCATGGCTGAACAAGAAGTCTTTTGTTTACCCACTCATCAATTGATGAACACCATAGTTATTTATGCCTTTTGGCTGCAGTGAATAGGAGTGCTATGAACATTTCTGAAGACTTTCTTTGAAAGGCTATCTTCATTTGGGGGCACAGTTATACCTCACTCAGTTCGTAATCAATTTGATTGACAAACAGAAGTGTTTGGCAACATCTTTTGTTTGATAATTCTGCAACAGGTAACTAACATGGCCGTAGCCATCTCTCCTGCATGAACATAATATGTCCATCTCTCCCAGAATCATGGAATGAATTAAGTTTATGAACCAAGGTATCGCTGTACAGAGGAGTGGAATTACTATCATAAGGCATAAGCTTAACTTACTGTGGCAGAGTAAATGTTTTATGTAGAAGATAACAATGTTATACATACCCACCAATATTATATGAAGATCTTATCAACATCCTCACTACCATGTTATTTTGCTTTATTTAAAAACACAGCCTTGTCATCTTTGAAGTGGTGCATCTTTGTGGTTTTGATTTTCAGTGCCTGAATGACTAATGAAGTGGTGCACCTTTGTGGTTTTGATTTCCCTTCCTTCAATGACTAATGATGCTGAGCATCATTTTATGTGCTTATTGGCCATTCATATATCTTCTTTGGAGAAATATCTAGTCAAGTACTTTTACTTGTCTTTGTGCTATTGAGTTGTATGTTTTTATATATCCCAGATAGAAGGTCCTTCACAGACACATGATTTCTAAATATCCTTCCCATTTTGGGGGTTTCAATATGACAGTGTCCTTTTATACACAAAAGTTTTTAAAATTCTTATGAAGTCCAATTTTCCTATTTTCCTTCCTTTAATGCTTTTGTGATTGAACCTGAGACACTTTAAAGTCTATCATAAGATCTACTTTCATGCTTATTTTGAAGTTTTATAGCTTGAGTTATTATATTTAGAACTCATGTCAAAGTTGAGTTAATTTTTCTATCTAGATAAGAGTTATGGATCTAAATTCATAATTT